CCCCAAAACCCCAAAACCCCAAAACCCCAAAACCCCAGTGGCTTTGTTCTAGATTGAATAAAAATTATCCAATAACACCATCTCTGATAGTCTCAGCAGTGAATTTACCATTCTCATGCTTCCATTCAAGATCTTGGTAGAAAGCAATTCCATTAGCGTCAACCTTAAAGTCCTTCTGAACTGCCTCGAAGATCTTCTTCTTTGGGTTAAGCTGACGTGGTGCGTTATGCTCAAATCCTTCAAATCTAACAATATCTCCTGGCTTAGCTCCAGCAGGTGGGGTCAAGAGCTCAACAGCAGTGTGGTCATCATTCTGAGCACACAAGACCATTCCTTGACTTGGGAATCCACCTAACTTCTTAGCCTTAAGGTTAGCAGCAACGCAGACCATGGCATTCTCCATCTTCTCGATTGGCACGAATTCTTGGAGCCCACTGGCAATAGATCTTGGCTTCTCTTCTCCAATATCAATCTCTTCGCAGTAAAGTTTCGTTGAATCTGGGTGCTTCCAGACCTTAGTAATCTGTCCTACTCTAATATCAACAAGAGTAATTGGAGGGGCTGAATAGTCAACTTCTCCTTTCTTTCCACCCTTATTTTGGGCTTGCTTTTGCTTCTGCTTCTTTGGTTTTTGCCCTCCTTCAGTAGTGACTTCTTTCTTCTCTTCTTCATTTTTAGTCTGATCCTTAGTCTCCTTCTTGTCTTCTTTGCCTTTCTTGCCTTCAGTCTTGCCAGCAGCCTTAGCTGCAGCTTTGGCTTCCTTCTGCTCTTTCTTGTATTTCTCTTTGGCAAGTTTCTTCATTTCAGACTTAGAGAGTGGTTTAGCATTCTCGTCTGGGAACTCTACGAAAAGAGAGTGCTCAATAGCGAACTTGTCAAGCCCAGGTAAGTGCTGGATATGGTCGAGCCATCTGAACAAATTGCTGTACTCAAGCTTTTTGAGATCATCAAAACCCTTTACGTGCTCGGCAATATGAGCATAAGCGTAAATATCAGCAGCAGTGATGTTGTAAGTAGCCACGAAAACTCTGAACTTGAGATCATTATTTAAATGATCAGCCAATGCTTGTGGCTCCATTGAGTTGATTAACTCAAAGTATGACAGAATTCTAGCATTATCAATCTCGCTCTTTCCTAAGAAGATCTTCTCGAATCTGGTTAGCTCAGCGATATGTCTAAAGATAGCATATGTAGATGCACATTTGAAGGTCTTTTTATTTTCTGTTTTTACTGTTCTATCACCTTCAGTGACAATCATGCAAGGGAGGGTTGGAATGCCAGTCTCCTTCTGTACTTCAGGTGTCAGAGTAGTGATCTTGACCAACTCAGCATCGATAGCTCTAGTATACTTGGCCATGATCTCTACAGCCAAACTTTTAAGGTTTGTTCCCAAAAAGATTTGCGTCATCTTAACACAATATTTTTAATTAATTATAGTAGCAATTATCCAGTAAATTTAGGGGTTTTGGGGTTTTGGGGTTTTGGGGTTTTGGGGTTTTGGGG